AGTGAAGGAAGGGGGTATGGCCTAATATGCTAATAACACGAACAAAAAAGGAGGGGAAGGGGAAAGAAAAAAGAGGAGAGGAAAGGAAGGAAAACTCAACCCAAAAAGCTGCTATGAATCCACAAGGGTTAAGCTGACACTAGATATAATACAGGTACAAAATTTATTCAGGTGTACACATTTTTAAAAAACTTAAGACACATTAAAAATATTCACATTCAGACATGAAAAACTTCTCAACACTCATACATAGATGGGTTAGTGCTGTGCAACTGAACCAAACGCGTTTCGGCCCCTAGGGACCTTCCTCAGTGGCCACAATCCAAAATACAAACTTGACATATATTTGTACAGGATGGAGTGACATACATTCAACTCACGCAAGTCTATGCTACCAGAATTATTGGTGGACTATAATTGGCTTTACCTGAGGCCTATCTTATGTAACAACAGTAAACATATAAATATATAAGGATACAATATTTGGCCTTATACTGTATATGTATTTAACATCTTATGTAAAGAATTTTTTGAATGTATGTCAAGTGTGTATTTTGGATTGTGACCACTGAGGAAGGCCCCTAGGGGCCGAAATGCGTTTGGTTCAGTTGCACAGCACTAACCCATCTATGTATGAGTGTTGAGAAGTTTTTCATGTCTGAATGTGAATATTTTAAATGTGTCTTAAGTTTTTTTAAAATGTGTAGACCTGAATAAATTTTGTACCTGTATTATATCTAGTGTCAGCTTAACCCTTGTGGATTCTTGGCAGCAGCTGCCACCAGAGCACGAGGATCTTCGCTGAGTGACTGACGGGAAGCAGTGGCGGCCATTTTATGGCTGCCTGCGCCTCTTATGGCAGCTGCATCGTGACAGCCATTCTGTGGCTCCGCCCACCACACTGTGCCGGAATTCCAAAGGTGCCCCCAGGCTAGAGTGGCCAGGTCCCATCTTCTCCCCAGCGGGGGGGCTTGGGGGGCATTCCGGGAAGGCTGTCCCCAACACGAAGACGTCATTCCCGTTAAATTCATGGCTTGTAGGGCAGGAACTAGCGGCCCCCGCTCGGAAAAAGCTGGTGTCTGGGGGGGGAGTGCCCAAAATTGGGGGGTCCCCCACCCCCACTGGCGGACTGGCATCCCTACCACAGGCTCAAAGAGGTCGGGGACCCCTGATTTAGATCACTGACCCACCAAGGTTAGTATTGTTGACTCAGATTGGTAGCGGCTCTCCAGTCTCAGCCTGAGACCGGGTTTGATTCCCCATTCCTCCACATGCAGCTGCTGGTGTGACCTTGGGCCATTCTTTCAGTGGTCTCTCAGCCCCACCTACCTCACAGGGTGCCTGTCATGGGGAGGGGAAGGGAAAGGAGTTTGCAAGCCGCTCTGAGACTCCTTCGGGTAGTGAAGGGCGGGGTATAAATCCAATCTCTTCTTCTACTTCTTCTCTCTCACACAGTGGGCCAGCCAGTTCCTCTGGAGGGCCAGCAACAGGGCACAAAGTCTGAGGCATTTGTCTGTTGGCACTGAGATTCAGAGGTTGACTGCCTCTGAACATGGAGGTTCTCTTTAGTCACCATGGCCAGTAGCCGCTGATAGACTTATCCTCCATGAATCTATCTAATCTTTTAAAGCTTAGAGAGCCAGTTTGGTGTAGTGGTTAGGAGCGCGGACTCTAATCTGGGAGAACCGGGTTTGATTTCCCACGCCTCCACGGGCAGCTGCTGGTGTGACCTTGGGTCAGTCACAAGTTATTTCAGAGCTGTTCTCTCAAGAGCAGTCCTCGAAAGAACTCTCTCAGCCCCACCTACCCCACAGCGTGTCTGTTGTGGGGAGGGGAAAGGGAAATTGTAAACCGCTCTGAGACTCCGAGTGAAGGGCGGGGTAGAAATCCAATCTCTTCTTCTTCTTTAAATGCAGAATGGAACACACACACACCCCGATGGCGTGAGAAGGTGGAGGATTCATCACATCCTAGGAAACTGCACGTACGTTCAGAGAACTCACACCCCTATTGCTACTGCAAGCCAAATTAAGTGGCAGCCATTCAACAATGTCAACAATACCTCTAACGAAAGGGCAGCATCTTCCCTTGCGGTAGTTTTTCGCTTCTTCCCCGGGCTTCTTCTTCTTTCTTCATTTCTTCCTATTAAGACACGAAAAGGACACTGAACAGCTCCACTTTCCAGAAGTGATCTCGAGATACGAAGTGCAAGGAAAAGCTTACAATGCACATAATTTCAAAAGAATACAGCCACAATGCATCACAATTCTACTGCTTGGGGCAATTTAATGTTAACGTGCCACGAGCCTTAAGAAAGCCTAGGCTCCGAAATACGCACTTCTACATAAAAGCAGAGTTAATCCAACATTAACAATTGTCGAGCCAGTTTGGTGTCGTGGTTAAGAGCGCGGACTCTCATCTGGGAGAACCAGGTTTGATTTCCCCACTCCTCCACATGCAGCTGATGGCGTGACCTGGGGTCGGTCACGAGTTCTCGCAGAGCTGTTCTCCAAAAGGAAGTCTCTCTCAGAGCTCTCTCAGCCCCAGCTGCCTCAGAGGGTGTCTGTTGTGGGGAAGGGAAAGGAGTTTGTCAGCCGCTCTGAGACTCCTTCGGGTAGTGAAGGGCGGGGTATAAATCCAATCTCCTTCCTCCTCTTCTTTTACCAGAAAGAAAATAAATTGTAACACAAAACGAATGCAGGGATGCCGTAAGAGGAGGGAGTTTAAGTAACCTGCAGCAATGAGGGAGCCTCTTCGCCCCTGCAGCATCTTGCCAAATAGAGACAGATACCAAAAAGAGACAGAATAAGGGCGATCCCCGGTTCTTCCCACTCCCCATGATCTGGTAAGCAAATCTACCTTACGGCCTTTTCTACCAGACAGGCAAGCCGACGGTGTCAAAGGCACCTGCAAGAGTCTTGTGGATTCTTCTTCTTTTTTTAAGTACCCGAGGGTACACTTTTTATCAGCCTGGGTTAGCACTTATGGGAGACCACCAGGGAAGTCCAGAGTCCCTACACAGAGGGAGGCAATGGCAAACCACCATCTGCCCTGACCCAGATAGCCCGGGCTAGCCCAGTCTCATCAGATCTCAGAAGCTAAGCAGGGTCGGCTCCGTACAGTGCTTGGATGGGAGACCGCCAAGAACATCCAGGGTTGCTATGGAGAGGAAAGCAATGGCAAGCCGCCTCTGCTCCTCTCTTGCTTCGAAAACCCTACATGGTCACCATAAGTTAAAAGAGATTAAGGACTTCTCTTCACCCTGCCCTCCTTAGCCTGGCGGTCCTTTCCCCCTTTTGATCTCCTTGCCTGCCTGCTTGGTCTCTTTTGTGCTGTGGGCTCGGCCTGTGACGTCATAGAGAGCGGGTGTTGTCAGTATAATGGGCGTGGATGGGGATGAGCTGACAGAGCCTGCAGAAACCGCAGCTGGCCCCTCTGAAGCAGCAGAGGAGGATAGCTGCCAAGTGCCTGAAACAGCAGTCTTCACACCTGGCCCAGATAAGACAGAAGAACTGCAAGCTGAAAGTCCTCCTGACTCACCCCCACGTGTGACTCACTTAAGGGAGCAACTGTGGCAAAAGTTAGCAACCAGGCGAAGAGAGGCCAGGCTACAGGGGAGGCGCTCAGCTAGCCCAGAGTTCTAACAGGAGCCTGGCTGATCGTGCAGCTGGCTAATTGGTAGTAGCATTTAATTCCATACTCTGGGCAGTAACCTTCGTGGAAGCAACGAGTCAGCTTCGTGCTGCTTGCATCCACTCCGGCTCGCCTCTTGCACCTAGACCTTCGGACCCCCTGGCTTTGGACTTGGCTCTGTGTTCCTGGTTCCCGACTCCGGCTTGGCTTTGGACTACGCGTCTGGTTAGTGATTCTGGACTTGGCTCCGTGTTTCTGGCTCCTGACCCTAGAAGAGATCAGGGCCCTGCGGGATCTTTTGCAGATCCGCAGGGCCTGAAAGACAGAGCTCTTCCACCAGGCTTTCAACTAAGGAGCCGCCCTCTGCCTTCACATCTGACTCATGCCATCAAGTGACTTGGGAAGACCACTGAGTTGGAAACTGCCTGTTTACAAACATTTTTAGAACGCTGTCTTAAGTAGCTGAATGAGCACTAGCACCTTATGATTTTATGATTTCATTTGTATTGAATTGTCTTAATTGATTGTATGTGGCCTGGCGTGATCTGGTCCATGGGGTCGCGAAGAGTCGGACTCGACTGTGCAACTGAACAACAAATGTGTGCAATTCGGGTCACCACACCTTAAAAAGGATATTATAATTTTGGAAAAAGTGCAGAAAAGGGCAACTCGAATGATAAAAGGGTTGGAACACTTTCCCTATGAGGAAAGGTTAAGGCGCTTAGGGCTCTTTAGCTTGGAGAAACGACGACTGAGGGGTGACATGATTGAGGTTTATAAGATTATGCATGGGAAAGAGCAGGTAGAGAAAGAGGTACTTTTCTCCCTTTCTCACAATACAAGAACTCGTGGGCACTCCATGAAATTGCTGAGCGGTCGGGTTAGAACGGATAAAAGGAAGTACTTCTTCACCCAAAGAGTGATTAACACTTGGAATTCACTGCCACAGGAAGTGGTGGCGGCTACAAGCATGGACGGCTTCAAAAGGGAATTAGATAAGCATATGGAGCAGAGGTCCATCAGTGGCTATTAGCCACAAGGTATAGATAGGGACTCTGGGGCAAGTGATGCTCTGTCATCTTGGTGCTTTGGGGGGGTCAACAGTGGGATGGCTTCTAATGTCCTGGCCCCACTGGTTGACCTCCTGATGGCACTGGTATTTCTGGGCACTGTGTGATACAGAGTGTTGGACTGGATGGGCCTTTGGCCTGATCCAACATTGGCATCTCTTATGTTCTTATGTTCTTAAATGTGGCCTTATTGGTAATTTTCTCCCAACTGCGTAAGCCGGCCTGAGCCTGTTCTCGGGGAGGGCAGGGTACAAATCAAATTAATAAATAAAATAAATGAATATTGGCTTTGGGCTTTGCACTGTCTTCTTGGCTCCTGACCTTGGCCTGTTCTGGACTCCCTTTGACTGGCACCCCAGCCCATGACAGTCCCGCTAGCCTAGTGGCCCTGGTTTTTTAAGAAGCACTGCCTGGGCAACTTGAGGCCACCCTGAACTGGATGGGCTAGCCCAGTCTCACCAGATCTCCGAAGTTCAGCGGGATCAGCCCTGGTTAGTCCTTGGATGGGAGACCACCAAGGAAGTCCAGGGCTCCTAGGCGGAGGCAGGCAATGGCCAAGCACCTCTGAACGTCTCTTGTCTTGGAAACCGTATGGAGACACCAGAAGCCAACTACGACTTGGCAGTGCTTCCCCTTTCCAAAGTATGGACCGCTATAGGTATGAACCTATCAGATTGCTGGAAACTGGGACCCCTCTGGATTTTGCCGTCTCAGCCATGCTGTTTTCTGCTCCTCTGCAAGCAAAGCACTGGGCAAGACTGATGAGATGTTCGATAAAGCTCAAGGTAAGATCTACCACTGGAGCTGCGGTGGCTCAAGTGGTTAAGACGCTGAACTGCAGGCTGTGGAAGGTCGGTAGTTAGGCAGTTCGAGACCCGAGTGCGCCGCATGACGGAGTGAGCTCCCGTCTCTAGTTCCATCTCCTGCCAACCTAGCAGTTCGAAAGCAAGAAATTGCAAGTAGATAAATAGGGACCACTTCGGTGGGAAGGTAACAACGTTCTGTGCGCCTTGGTGTTTAGTCATGCCGCCCGCATGACCACGCAAACGTCTTCAGACAGCGCTGGCTCTTCGGCTTGGAAACAGAGATGAGCACCGCAACCCTAGAGTCGGATTCGACTGGCTTTCGAGCAAGGGAACCTTTACCTTTTACTAAGATCTACCACTAGTCCGTAAGAACCGTATATGCTGGTATCTCCCAATGCAGTCCTCACGTAAGAGGTTAGCATGGGGGTAGCGGGAAGCGCCATCAAGACACAGCCGACTCACGGTGACCCCCTATAGGGTTTTCAGGGCAAGGGACGTTCAGAGGTGGCCTGCCATTGCCTGCCTCCACGTCATGACCCTGGTAGTCCTTGGAGGTCTCCCGTCCAAACACTAGCCAGGGCTGACCCTGCTTAGCTTCCGAGAACTGATGAGATCAAGCTAGCCTGGGCTATTAGTCAGAACGTTCATTTTTATTGTAGCACTTCTGCCTTGCTAAGGAAGTTTGAGCCTAGCCTATTTACCGATACACAGGGTTGTTGTTTTTCTTTAAAAAATCTAATTCTGTCTATTTCTGAGAGCCAGTTTGGGTGTAGTGATTAAGTGCACGGACTCTGGGGTCTGATTCCCCACTCCTCCACTTGCAGCTGCTGGATGACCTTGGGCAAACCATAGTTCTGTCAGAGCTGTCCTTGAAAGGGCAGTTCTCGAGAGAGCTCTCTCAGCCCCGCCTACCTCACAGGCAGATTTATCCTCTGGTTAATACATCTGAGCTGAACAGAGCTGCTGTCAGTTCTAGCCCCATGCTGGTGTGAGCTACCAGCCTTGTCCCCAGCTAGCCGTCCTCCCAGCGTTTCAAAAGCTTCGGCGAGTAGATAAAATGGGTACCACTCCTTAGAGAGGGTGGGCACACTAAACCCCCCAGTGGGGGAGGTGCTAGCCGGCGAATGGAATGTTCAGCGCATAAGACCGAAAGCCTAGAAAGATCTCTTCGGCATCAAGGAAGCCTGTAATGGGCTGTCCGGCCAGGCGGTGGCAGTGCTGCGCTGCAACGTGAAGCAGTCCGGAGAAAGCTGACGACATCAAGCCATGCCCGAGGGGAAAATGCCGTTGGAACATGTCTGACCTTACAGCTGAACAAACTCCCCATCGGCTGCAAACGTGTGTGATTTAAAGATTATATGTTGTCCTCCCTTACGCCTTGAATCATTGTTAGTCCCGTTTGGATTTGAGTAACTGTAAATCGCTCCGAGCCAGCAAGCTCTGCAGGATTGAGCAATTAATAAACTGAAAGATTATTATTATTATATTATTATTATTATAAGCTGTGGAGTCTTATGAGTAAAAATTCTACTTTGTGAGCTACTGACATTAAACTTCTGAGTGAGCGATTTGGCTACTGCATAAATTAGTTTGCTCCGGAGCCCTCCTCCCTGAGCTGAGACAAAAATGTGTGAGCCGGAGGCTAAAAAAACTGTGAGCTAGCTCACACTTAACCCAGCTTAGAGGGAACACTGCTCACAGGGTGTCTGTTGTGAGGAAGGGAAGGGAAAGGGGTTTGTATGAAGCACAGGTGGCTTGCCATTGCCTGCCACTGCATAGCAACCCTGGACTTCCTTGGTGGTCTCCCATCCAAGGGCTAACCAGGGCGGACCCTGCTTAGCTTCTGAGATCTGAGGAGACTGGGCCAACCTGGACTATCCATGTTACGGCAGAGGGGGTGTGCCGTTGCTTGCCTCTGTGTAGCAACTCTAGACTTCCTTGGTGGTCGAGTACTGACCTCCCCCCTTCCTGCCTGTTCTCTGCCCAGAGAGAGAGAGACAGAGAGAGAAAAAACTTTTAAAACTCAGGGTGAAGGTTTTGCTCATTTCAAACCACCAAAGGAAAAAATGCATTTCTTCACGACGTGTATAATTGCATTTCAAGGCTCTGTCGTGATTGCAGTGATAGCAGCGTCTTCCTCACGAAGACAGAGAACTTCATTGCTAATACAGTATCTGTAACAATCAGTGGACAGATACACGAGCATATTAAATGAATTCCACTTGACTGCAGATATACTGAAACAGAGCACTTTTATGTATAAGGACAGCCATGCATCTTATATTTATTTATTTATACTTTCAATTTGTACCCCGCTCATCCCCGAAGGGCTCTGAGCGGCTTACACGGTGCATGGTGCGGAGACCTATTCAGAAACCCTAACTATGGTCACAGTAAGTCTGGGGGTGGGGGGGGTCCTACCAGGTACCCTTCCAGGCTCCGATCGTTCGTTTTTTATCTTCTTTCAGCTTCTCAGATCAATAAGAAAACAAAACTCCCGAACTGCAGGAAAACGCGGGAACGGACTAATCCGTGACATTTGCACAGAGAGCCATTTTTATTGAGTTAACAAAAAAGAAATAAATGCTACTGCAGCCTTTAAACTTTTCTTCTGAAACATTTACTGCCAAACAACCTCCTAAGACTGAATAAACTGTGCTGCATAGTTTGCCTGCCACATCCTAAATTGAAGAACATAAGAAGAGCCCTGCTGGATCGGATCAATGGTCCAGCATCCAGTCTCACACAGTGGCCAACCACAGGGGCATGACTCGGCATGTGTCTTCTAAGTTCACTTGCTGAGACCACGGTCTCTTTAAATGCCTACGCCTTCAAGCCTCCTCGCCGTTGTCGCAGGGGCACAACTTGGCACGTGAACTCAGAAGGCATATACTGAAGTCTCTTTAAATGCCTTTCTGCCCCTCCTTTGAAAGCAGTGGAGGACAGGGGGCACCTTCTTTAGGGGCCCACAGAATTGGATCCCCTGGTTCAATCTTTCTCAAACTTTGGGGGTTTTTTGAGGAGAGGCACCAGCAGCTATGCTGCAAATATGGTCCCTCTACCTCAAAAAACAGCTCCCCCCCGAGACCCAGATACCCCCAGATTGATTCTCCATTATACCCCATAGGTTATAATGGAGACAAAAAAAATCAGGTTTCCTGAAAACATTGCAATACCATACCGATATGGGGATTTGGGAATATTGGAAAATATTGATATTCTTCAAATTCAATATACCTGAATCTGAAAAATACTGTTTGTTTTTTGCACACCCCTAGCCAGAAAGCTTATCAAACACCTGCAGTGCTGGGTGGTTCATACAGGACCCTACAAGAGTACACATTCTGTGTGATTTTTACCTGTCCATTTTGGAGGCTACAGGTGGAATCTTATTGGAAAGACACATATACGGATGCACATATCTGTTTTTATCTATTCATTGACTTCATTTACAGTCCAGTGTTCCCTCTAAGCTGAGTTAGTGTGAGCTAGCTCACAGTTTTTTTAGCCTCCGGCTCACACAGTTTTGTCTCGGCTCAGGAAGGATGGCTCCAGAGCAAACTAATTTAAGCAGCAGCCAAATAGCTCGCTCACAGCTTTAATGGCAGTAGCTCACAAAGTAGAATTTTTGTTCACAAGACTACACAGCTTAGAGGGAACATTGATTTACACTCTACCGTTCTCCGCAATGGAGTCATAAACCAGCTTACAACATTCTCTTCTCCTCCCTTTTAATCTTGCAACAACCCTGCAAGGTAGGTTAGGCTGAAAGTGCGCAACTGGCCCAAGGTCACCCAGCAAGCTTCCATGGCAGAGTGGGGATTAGAACTGGGTTCTCCCAGATCTTATTCTGATGTTCTGATCACCACACCGTGTTGGCTCCAGCCCACTCACACGTTACCTCTGACATGTACATCTCACCATCTCCTTATACGGCTAGTTTACTGAGCTCTCTGAATAAACCCGAGAAAATTAGAGCGCTGCAGAAAGAGCAAACTGAAGCAAGTAGACAGAATTTGTAACTGCATTAACATGAAGAAGAAGACAAGATTGGATTGATACCCCGCCCTTCACTTGGAGTCTCAGGGTGGCTTACAATCTCCTTTCCTTCCTCTCCCCACAACAGACACCCTGTGAGGTAGGCGGGGCTGAGAGAGCTCTGAGAGAACTGCCCTTGAGAGAACAGCTCTGAGAGAACTTGTGACCGACCCAAGGTCACCCAGCTGGCTGCATGTGGAGGAGTAGGGAATCAAACCCGGTTCTCCCAGATCAGAGTCCGCGCTCCAAACCACTACACCAAACTGGAGTGGCAAAGGTTCCCCATAATAAGGGCCGAAAAATAAGTGCACTGCACACTTACCGCTTCCAGGAACCAACGGTGACAAGCCTGGAGCCGTCAGATCACCCTGGAGCATCCACGCCGGGAGCACTCTTTTCCTTGAAGCAGAACTCGGCTTATCTGGCTCAGCCATCCTAGCAGAAAGCTAAAAGACCACAAATTAATCGTGTATTATATATTTTTTCCTAAGCACAAGGAGTTCACCTGCATCTACCCACCAAAATTCCCTTATTGGGCTGTGCTGCCATGTATGATTTTTGTACCTGTTTGGTGTAGGAGAGCCAGTTTGGTGTAGTGGTTAAGTGCGCCGACACTAATCTGGGAGGAACGGGTTTTATTCCCCACTCCTCCTCCACATGCAGCAGCTGGCGTGACCTTGGGTCAGTAACAAGTTCTTTCAGGGCTGTTCTCTCAAGGGCAGTTCTCGAGAGAGCTCTCTCAGCCCCACCTACCTCACAGGGTGTCTGTTGTGGGGAGGGGGAGGGAAAGGAGTTTGTAAGCCGCTCTGAGACTCCTTCAGGTAGTGAAGGGCGGGGTATAAATCCAATCTCTTCTTCTACCTGTGTGAATGGAGGGGCCATGGCTCAGCAGCAGAGCTTCTGCTTGGCATGCAGAATGGCCTGGGTTCAATCCCTGGCATCTCCAGTTAAAAACATCCGGGAATAGGTGATGTGAAAGACCTCAGTCTGAGACCCTGGAGTGCCACTGCCAGTCTGAGTGGACCAGGCTGCCCTTGATGGACCAAGGGTCTGGCACAGTTATTTATTTATCTATCAGGCAAGAGGAGATGTGAAAGACCTCAGCCTGAGACCTTGGGGAGCCATGAAGTGGGGCCATGGCTCAGCGGCAGAGCATCTGCTCGCCATGCAGAAGGTCCCGGGTTCAGTCCCTGGCATCTCCAAATGAAAGAACTAGGCAGTAAGTGATGTGAAAGACCTGCGCCTGAGACCCTGGGGAGCCATGAAGTGGGGCCGTGGCTCAGCGGCAGAGTATCTGCTCGCCATGCAGAAGGTCCTGGGTTCAGTCCCTG